GCTAGCAGCTCAGGAGGTAAAAAGCAGAAACAGCAGTAATTAGCAAGACAATGTCAATAATAATATCAAGAAGTACTTTTTACAACTGCTATGCAAGTTTTAAATACAAATCATCTTCTGGTTCATTTAATCCTCACATGAGGTAAATACCACATTATCCCCATTTCAAAAATGAGGAAATAGGTCAGAGATTAAGCAATTTGCCCAAGAATGCGGAGTTAGTGTCAGAAGATCAGACCATCTGAACATTTTACCCCCGAAGATCATGTTTTTAACCACCATATTCGGTATAAAGAAGTCATAATCTTAAAATAAATATAGGATGCATACTCAAACTCATTTCTTAATTAGAGTGGTTTGGAGCCCCCCAAAAGACTCATCTGGCTTTTATAAGGAATATTTCTAAGCTAAGATTAAATACATTTATGAAGAACACATTTAAGTGTACTTAGCTTTGCTTTTATCACTCTGAAATCTCTCAACTGTTTGAGCACCACAAACAATGGTTAACAATGTTACTGAGCAGACTAATAAAACTTTATTTTAAAAATTTCAGGTAAAACACATTGTCCATCTTTACCACCAAGTAAACTAGGGTAAAATAACTACAAGAGGGCCAACCCTTTGAAAAATTTCAAAACATCAGGAAACAGTGGGAACTAGATATTCCTTTTAGGACAAATTAAAATTTTGTTCTTTCAATAGCACTGTAAGATCTTCTTTAACAACGAAGATTAAGTTGAGGTGAAGTAAACATTAATTTTTATTTCAAAACATCTGCTTAAATTTTTAAAATTCCTCATTGACAATCCAAAAAGCCTACTGCTTATTTCCTAGAAGAGCCACATGATCAACATGGCAAACTTAATTTCATTAGCTAAAGCTATGCTACTTGTTATGAAAAGCAGGCAACCTCCAATCACTTCAAGAGCACAAGTTGATTTTTTAAATCATCTATTTGAACTTCAGATCTTGGTTTCTGCAAGCCAGCCCACAAAAGCCTAAACATAAGGGTATAGAAGTATAACAAAATGCCAAACCTTGTGTGGGCAATATTTCTGTGCAAAAACACATTTAGCATTCCAACTTAGGATAAAAACACCTACCTTGCTCCACTGTGTCCTGGGAGTAGAATAAAGAAATCTTCCTTCCTAACTGGAAGTTTGAGCTTCCTTAGGATCCTCAGCCTTCCAGATTATGGCACAGCAGAAGGAAAGGTATGAATGGGGGGAAAGGCAGAACTTGGGTGGGAAAAGATCTGGAGCAGGAAGGCAAGACCTACTTTGGAGAGTAAGATGGAAGATGGGATAACAGCCATAAGGAGAGGTGGGGTATGAGGGATTGGTAGAGGGCCTGTTAAGAGGATAAGGAAAAGGGCCTGCTCCAACAACACCAGCTTCTACAACAGTTCCTCTTTCATACTTAAAAAGAGGGAAAAGGTCAGGGTGCAGTTGGCTCATGTCTGTAATTCCATCTATTCAGGAGGCTGAGATATGAGGATTGTGGTTCCAAGCCAGCCTGGGCAGGAAATCCCATGAGACTTATCTCCAATTAAGCACCAAAAAAGCCAGAAGTGGAGCAGTGGCTCAAGTGGTAGAGCCCCAGCCTTGAGCAAAAACCATCAGGGACCTCACTCAGTCATTGAGTTCAAGCCCCAGGACTGGCACACACACAAAAATGTGATGAGTAGAAATTGAACACTGGGTATGAGGGATTGGTGACTCACACCAGCTACTTGGGAGGCTGAGATCTGAAGATGTTGGATCAAAAGCCAGCATGGATAGGAAATGTTGTGATACTCTTGTCTCAAAACAAAACAAAAACCTACCAAAAAGTCCTAAGTAGAGCTGTGGCTCAAGTGGAAACGTTCTAGCCTTGAGTGAAACAAAAGCTCAGGGACAGTTCCCAGGCCCTTTGTTCAAGCCCCAGAAAGACACCAAAAATAAAAAAAAAGGGGGGAAGAAGAGGAGTCCTCCCTTAGGTTATGCTCATTCCCCTTCACAAGAAAGAATGAGGCCTATACTCTTCCCCACTGACTTGCTAGAGCACAGGAATTTAAAGGGGGAATGAACTTAGGGAAGTGTTGGAGGTCTTTTTGTCACAATTCACCCAGTAAAGACTTCAGTGTCAACTGAGAATTGGGTGGGGGGGGGTCCAGGTCATCGCATGAACAGCTACAGGGAGGAAGGAAAACAGGCATACAGATTTTGAAGCAAGGAAGGAAGTGCGATATTAGAGAGGGGAGCAAATCACAGATCTGTAAATGAACTGAACTATAATAAATGTCAAATATTTAAGATTCCATTTGACAGTTCCAAGTAGTTCATCAAGTCCACTTTACGTTTAGACAAATGTCTGTGGCCAAAGTAATAATCTAAGATTTATTTTGCACACTATACGAAAATAAACTTCTAACTACATCCAAGATAATTTCCTGGTGTCTTTTATATAGTGACAATAAAAATCAATTCAGAAAAGCTTCTTCATTTACTTGGTAGACACTCAGTTACATTATCATTTGTCCAAGTTTTTCGCCCTAATAGCCCAAATATTATGAATAATTACCTTCACAAGTAAAGTATATTTAACCCTTTCTTGAGAGTATAACTATAATTAAGAACTTGCTATTCAGCCCAAAGATTGCCAGGTCTCCAAGTTATTACTTAAAACAGCCTCATATTCCACACTACACACAGACACACATGTTAATGACGTATGTACTGAGTAACATAAGAATTCTTTTTTCCTTTTCTATAAGACATAGCTATTTCACCAAAAGCTCAAACAATTTACTTCTTCAAAAATGGGGCAACAAACTCCAAATTGCACAATAACCATTTTTTTCTAGAATTTCTGGTCAAAGATAGTTTCATAAGTAAACTCGACCAAATGGAGCATAAACACCACTTAGGTATCATGGGTTTTCCCCTCTGATCTCTATGGGGTTCTTCCAATTGAACTCTACTCAGATGTGAGGTCTCTCTCTTTAACCAGAGATAAGGGTCAGTATGGCAGGCGCAATAGCACATCAGAAAGGCAACAGCAGACACCACTGAGAGACAAGGTGACACTCCACCCTCACTCTGAAAAACATTCCTGGCTACTTCACCAACAATTCCGATGCTGCCTTAGAATCTCTGAAGTCTGGCAATTCCTAGCCCTGTTAAGAGATTCTGCTGATTCTCATAGCAGCTGCTGTATTTTCTGAAAACCATGACCTAAGCCCCAAACCTTTGTACTGAATTAAAGAGGAGAAAAACAGGGTGAGCTATCCAGTACTGGAGAAGGCAGGGATGTATGTGTTCGTGTATAATAACTCCCAGCTCCCATTAAGCAAAGTCAAATTCCTATATAGCTCATATTTTACTTTGGCAATGTAATTTTAAATACTATTAAAATGAGGCAACGTTTTTAGTTACTGAAACAGTTACAGACTATTAAGAATCTTTAAACAGAGATTAGAAATCTGCTCAAATGATACCCCTGGCTAGAAAATGGACACATCTAAAAAGAAAAAAAAAAGCCTTGAGATTATCTTGAGGCAAGGATGCTGAAAACTTTCAAGATCAACAGAACTATAAAGTTTCCTTATCACACAAATTCTCATTTTCATAAAATTTGTGACAGTCAGCATATAAAAGTATGCAAAATGTGGAAAAAGAACACATGCTTTAGAACTAGACAACACGTGTTTAAATTCTAGATCTGCAATGTACCAGGTATATGACCTCCCCAACTATGTCAACTACAGAGGAATACCAGAGGTTATTGTCATTATCTCTGCAACAGGGACATTATCTTTAGCACAGGGTAACTATAAGGATTAAATTGAAATATACATTGCCTACAACCCCAGTGTCTGGATATATTCAATGGTAGCTCAATTCAGTCCAACACAAACTGTACAGTGTGGTTTATAATTAAGGAGAAGAATGTGTCAAATAAACATAAAAAAAATTTCAGGGTAATTGAACATAGATTACTTTCCACCAGATGTAAAGATGGAACTCACATATTTAATATTTACCTTTGCTGAAGTCTAAGTCTCTTGAGTTTTAAGCCAATGGGGGTGGGGGAGGGAGAATCTAAAGCTCTAAAAGTTCCTATCACACACTGATTTAAAATCATCTATATGTAGATGCTTGCATTGTTCCAGTGCTCATAAAAAACACCAGGAGAAAACTTACCATGGGGGATGAGATGTTTTCTAATTTAACACTGAATTAATTAAAGTCTCATCACAAAACCCTTTCTTGATCAAACTATTTCTTACACGGTCTTGTGTACCACTGCAGATCATTCCTAAGGGAAAGCAAAAAGTTAGCCTTCCAAAATGAATAAGCCTGCAACAGAACCTCTTTGGTCAAATTGTTCTTTTATCCTTTTCATTCCTGTTCTATAAACCATAAGGAGAGTTATGCCAAGATTATTGTGTGATAAATATCACTGAAGAACAAACCAAACCGAAAAGTCCTGTCTAGACCCAAAGTAGCGAATTTTCTTAAAGAGATGAAATATTTGTTTCAGTAATTACAGAAATGCTTTATATTTTAACATATCAAACAGTACAACTTATGGCTTTTTAAAAACGCACCTTACTTGTATAAAGTGAGCTTTATTCAAGCTTTTTACACCTTGTTCTCCAACACACAGCCCACGCCCCAAATCCCGCTTTTATACACTCTAGGAACAGAACCACAAGGTATTAAACTTACAGAACTTCAACGGGAACTAAGTCTAAATTCTCCTTCCCGGACATTATAGCTCCTTTAATGGAATCTCCTTTAAATGAATGTAGACATTGTTTGTTTCTTTTTTCTCCTCGTTACTCAACACCTGCCAAGAATTATTTGTAAACCTCATCTACAACCAGTATTACTATTATTACTACTACCCTTCCCCAAGTGTGAACATCCTCAACCCAGTCAACCTTAGCGCTGCTAGTCATCCCAAAACACCTTGCTGAGGCGTGAAGTCTGTCCACAGGTACACTCTTCTCAATGTCTCAGAACCCGCAAAGAAGGGCACCATCGCCTCTGCCCTGGAAGCGAACGTCAATCAAACCACCGCGCCCCTCTACTCACACACCCCGCACCCCACACCCCGCACCCCGCACCCCGCACCCAGACAGCGCGCCGCGGCCACTCCCTCACCCCTCGGCCTCCCGGTGCCGTTCGGGGCGTCCGGGACGCGCGCGGACGCGTCAGGCCCTGCGCAGACCTCCTGCAGCCCCGCAGTTCCTGGTGGAGGCTACAGTTCGAGGCCCAGCCAAGCCCCCCCTCCCCAGGACACCTGCAGTTGCACACGCCCACCGTCCTGGGCATAGGATGACTAGAACGACCCCTGGGCACACCCGACGCCCTGGCCCGGGCAGGTGCCGGGCCTCCTCCCAGACACTCACCCGGCGGTCGCGGCTCCCCTGGCCGCCGCCTCGCCCTCACGCCCGCCGTCTGCTCCCGCGGGGGGGTCCGGGCCGGTGTAGCTTCCCCGCCCGACCCCCCTCGGGTGCACGCCGCGCGAAGCCCAGATCCGGTGTAAGCCGCCGTCGCCGCCGCCACCGCCGCCGCCGCCGCCCCCTTCACTTCACTTCACTCCCTCCTCCCTCGATGCGTCCCTCCCACCGAGGCCCGCCTCGTATTTCCTGGATCCGGTCTCGGTGAGAGCTTGGCAAGTGAACCTCCAGCTTCAGGGCTTCCGTCGGACGCCGTCGCTCGCCAGGCACAAATATGGCGCCGCTGGGGACGGCTGTAGGCAATCTCGCGAGGCTTCCCCCACAGGAACAGAAGGGCGCCTCTCCCCCCCCCCGCCCCCCCCCACACACAGAGAAAAGGTGATAAATTATCCTGAACGGACGCTCCCTCATATCGGAAATGGGCAGTACCAGTTACCAGGGAAGATTATTGCGCCTGCGCAAGAGCGCGGGACTTGACGCAAGCCCAGAACAGCTCCTGAATTGGGACGTAGTTCTCTGGTGTTTTACCTGTTTACTCCATAGAGGCGCCAGGCAGAGAAACCGGGAATGAAACCTGGAGAAGGGTTTGACAGGATAAGTGCCAAAGTGTAAGGTGTCTCTTAAAACCCTCAGAATGTCAAACACTCTACACACTTTTGCATCCACCAACACTCCTCCAGCACTCTTGTCCTCTCTGTTCCCATTGGGACAGTGCTCCTTCTCCATCCTGTTGGTTGGTTCAGGTTACCAAGAGTTTACTGCACACTTACAGAAGTGCTTTACATGTGGGAGCCATAGACGTTCTGTTGTTCACGTCACCATCTAATTTTGTCTTTCACTGTGGTGCTACGTGAGCCTTCTAGACCTCATACAAGTAACTCCTTTTCCACTTGTATTTTTCCTTGTTCATTCATTTCTTCAAACGTGTGTTCAGTTTCTTGTGTGCTCAGTACTGAGGAAACACACATGCTCTTACCACTGGAAGCTATTAGCCTGAGAAGGAAATGTAAGGGAAGAATTGTTTTTAATTATCACAATTTAACACAGTAAGTTCTGTGATAGAAATGAGTAGAGAGCGCAGTGACAGATATGGAAAAGACCTTATGATAATTCCTTTCCAAGGAAATTCTTCAGGAGTGTCACCCAAGCTTTAGTCCAGCCAATCAAAGTGATTTCAAGAAACAAACCACCCTAATTACTTTTAACACAAGTTAATCGAAAGATCTCATTATTAGGCAAATGAAAAATGCCAAAGGATTCTACATATCACTCAGGTAGGAACTGTAACTATTCTATCTGGAGTGAGACAAACAAAGAGAAATGAAGGGGATGGTTGTAGTTTAGACATTTAAAGGGGGCCCTTGTGAAAGCAAATTCAGGCCTGCAAAAGCAGCACTCATTGGTACTAATATTTCTGACAGGACTCACAACACTGGATTTGAATGGAATAGTATAGAAATAGGAAATCTACAAACCAAATCCAATTGCTGCTATGGAAAGGATTTGAGCTTCTCCCTCAATAGTTTCTAGGATCCCTTCATTCTAGGTTTAAGAATGAAACATGGAAACTGGAGCTGAATTTTACCTATTCATTAAAGCAGAAGTAACCATTCATTTTGGAAACCATTCATTTGGGAAGCTGTATATGATAAGAAGGAAAAGCCACGAACTCTTATCACACACCCTACATATTGAAGACTATCTTGTACAAATATGCTTCAAGATCAGAGTTTCAGGCCAAGCAAAGTAGCCTCCAGGCAATTTAAATGATCCATGAATGCTTAATGTAGAAGAGCATGGAGAATTTTCCTTATTTTATAACAAATTCAGACTAATGCAGCAGCTCTGTTCTACAAAGTAAGCCAAAGTTAATGTGTCTCTGTCTTCTTGCTCCATCACACTAAGAACTCATCCTAACTCGGAAAAGTAAGGGGATGGGTGGAGTTTGGAGAGATGGGGGAGAATAATGAAAGTGGTGACATTAATCAAGATGCATTGTACTTATAAATTGAGATGTTCAATTGAAACCTTCTTATACAGCTACTTAATGGTAGCAACAACAACAATAATAGAGTCATCCTAGTCTACATGGTCCAACATGGCTCAGCCACTACATCATATTCCAGCAACCAGGAAGGAAAAAGCTACTCAGTTCTTTTAAGCTCATGACCTGGAAGTTATAAAGAACCCATTGGCCAGAATTTAATCATACTATTGCATCTATTTACAAGGCAAGGCTATATAGTTAATAATTCTATGAGTTTGTGGGGGAAAAAACCTGCAAAGAGGATAATGACAATCAGCAGCCCCCTAAAATGATTTAAAAAACCCTCAAACTGTATCTAAAGTTAGAGCTTATTGTCACTCCTTCTACCAGCAAGAAGCGTAGAATTAGGAGAAAGTGACCTTTTCTATCTCTCTGTGGACATACTTCACAAACCCCTTCTCTACCCCCACCATCTTAGCAATAGCTTCTTCTCCAGGAGTGAAAAGGGTAGGAATGGAGCTGGCCAAGTTATTGCCTTACATGATTCTATCATAAGATGTCTTTGTCCTCTGTGGACATGGCAGATACCTCAAACAGTTCCTCCTCCTTCCCTCCCTCCCTCTCTCCCTTTCTTCTCATTCTTTGTTTTTAGAGTTTTGATATATAGGTCAGATTGGCACTGAACTCTCCATCCTCCTTCCTCTTCCTCCTCCTGATTGCTGGGATTACAGGTGTGTGTGCTACTACCACACCTAACTAGTTCTTTCCTCCTTGATTTATTTTTTTTGTTTATTTTCAGGCTCCTACTGGGAAGGTTTGATAGTACATTCCAACACATAAGTGATACTCTTTCCTATGGCCACTCTTTCCTTAGCTCCTTCTTTCTTTCTTTCCTTCCTTCCTTCCTTTCTTCCTTCCTCCCTCCCTCCTTTCTTTCTCTCTCTCTCTTTCTTTCTTTCTTCCTCCTTTCTTCTTTTCAGAGACATTCATCTGATCCATGAAAACCTCATATATCCTTTCTTTGGTGAGCAAGCATGCTGTTCTGTCATTGGTGTTACAACAAGCTTGCTATAATCAGAATTCTGATTAAGAGACAAACAGCAGTGTCTACATTGACACAGGTCTCCAATTTCCAAGAATATGTGACAGGCTCTTGGGATAACTATCTGGGTATGATGTATAGATATCTACAGTTGAATAATCAAGCAGCTGGCAGTTGCTACTTCTTGAAGACACCTCTAACTCAGCTCCAACAGGGCCCCGTTTCCCACTGGAGAAAAAAATCTGCAGTAGTTCTTCAAAGTCAATAGCTAATAAACATCTCCCTTGTAGTCTTCTTTTATTTGAGCTGGAGGAAGTGTTCCAGTGATAGTCATAGAACCGGTTTTGCCACCTCCTGGTATGCCCTATTGAGAAGAGCCTGGAATCTCTCTTTAGAATGGAATAGAATTTGGAACTAACCCTTTCAAAATATAATAGTCTAAAATAGTAATCATTGTATTTGTTCATTATGCAGTGAGTCAGCAATTTGGGCTCAATTTAGCATTCCTTCTAGTCTCACTTAGGGGCATTCATAGTGATAAGAATATGTAATGTCATCCCTACCTCCATAGAGTATAATCTAAAAGTAAAAAAGTTAGCTAGGGTGTCTAGTAGGCCATTTCATTTGGCTGCCTGATTTTTTAGTGATGAGGTGCTAAGGAGAGCTATGGTTTTCATTGTACAAATTTTACTTTGTAGTGAAATGGCCTCTTGGTTTTAGGCCAACGCTGTATGAGATGACCATTTTGTAAACTTTTTAAGAGTGGTGCTAGTGGAGCAACTGTAGATAGATAGGGAAGGAAAACTCTTATTAACATTATGAATCAGTTCTGGAAAGAATGAATTGCTGCCTCACAGTCACACACACATACACACATCCTGTGGAAAAGATCCAAAGTAATCCATCTGCCAAAGTAGCTAACTGGTCTCTTTGAGAAATGGTGCCATACTGTGGGCTAAATTGGTCTCTATTGCTAGTAAATTAATTGAATCTTGGTGAACTAGAGCCCTTACTGGACTTTAAGGGTGACTCTAGGTTCTATTACAAGAGTCCCTTAGTCCCTGTTCTCCCTTCTTATGACATAAATCTAAAAGAAAGCTTGTCAGCAATGGATTTTTCTGGCTGTTTGATACCAGACAATGTAAGTTTGGGATGCTAGCTACTTATATACCTTATCTGGAATGTTGGAATAAATGGATTATTGCAATCCTATTGTGAGGGAAAGATGTCCCATAGGAAGTTGAGCTTGAGTGTACTCTTCTCTGGAACGGGGCAAACCCATGTTTCAGTTAGCTTCTTGCTTACAAACCCAGCATGCGTCCCAAGTATTATAACTGACAGATTTACTCCTTCTGCTAAAATGCCCTTATATGTTAATTTTCACACTCAAGTGCTAGTATTGCCTAGTTACAAACAAAATTTTTAACAAAAACTTTTCTCTAATGGGCCAGCAAGGTAGACTTGCTACAGATTCAGTGGGTGAAGGGGAAGACCAGTGAGGAAAACACTATTTTGGGTGAGGCATGAAGAAGCTAACACATAGATAGATGCATTAGGAAACATTCCTATGGAGTAACCTCAAGATTTTTTAATTTATATTTTTTAATTTATTGTAAAGGAGATGAATTGGGGGGGTGTTACAGCTATAAAAGTAAGGTAATGATTATATTTCTTTCTTTTTTTTGTGTGGGTTGTGGGGCTTGAACTCTGGGCCTGGGCACTGTCCTTCAGCTCTTCAGCTCAAGGCTAGTGCTCTACCACTTGAGCTACAGAGCCACCTCTGGCTTTTTTTGCTTATGTGGTGCTGAGGAATTGAACCCAGGGCCTCATGCATGTGAGGCAAGCACTCTACCACTGAGCCACCTTCCCAGCCCCAAGTACATTTCTTTTTAAACACTGTTACCCCCATCACCAAAATTATAGTAATGGTAGGGCACATGTGTAGTGGATGCTGTGGTGCTCAACCAGGTGCTCTGTTCTAGGATCCTGGTCCAGTTTGGTAGGACTGGATAGAGACTTGCCCATGATGCAGTCTCAACCAAGCCTTCAGACTATTTCACATGGATCACTAAAGCTGAATGGCACTTCAGCAAAAGTGATTGGCTTTTATATCTCAACATCATCCACTCTTTGGCTATGGACCACCTACTGTGACAGTGTATATTTTTATGGAGGACTT